TAGCCAGGAGTAAATGGTAAAAAAAAAATTTATTAAGTAATGGCCAAATGGGTTGGAGCGATAGCACAGCAGGTAGTGCGTATGCCTTGCATGTAGCTGACCTGGCTGACCCAGGTTCGATTCCTCCACCCCTCTTGGCGAGCCCAGCAAGCTACCGAGAGTATCTTGCCCACACGGCAAAGCTGGCAAGCTACCCGTGATGTATTTGATATGCCAAACACAGTAACAAGAGTCACAATGGATACATTACTGGACCCGCTCGAGCAAATTGAATAACGGGAGGACAGTGACAGTGACAGTGACAATGGCTGAACACTTAAATCTCAATTAAGGTACTATGAACTAGCCTATAAAGGCAAATAAGAACATATGAGTTGAAGATAAGCTTATTGATAATAACACTGCAATAGAAATTAAGTTAACTTTTGAAAACATATAAATTAATTGAATCATTTCCAATATTCATTTTTATCTGCTTTGTTTCTGTGAGGGTCATTTGATTCTTCTCATACACATTCTGCCTTATAAGGAACAAATGAACCAGTTTCATAGCCTTAGTTGAAACTAGCTAGAGAATCAAACTACATTTTTTTCTTACTAAATACTATACTGTGTAAGCATTGAGGGGAATAAAAATGACTTGAAACAAATAAATTGCAAGTAGTCTACAGTCTATTAACTGAGAAAAGAATTTAGATCTGTGTGCACTGGGAGTATGCCTGCATTAATATAATTTACTTCATATTTATTATGGTACATACATTAATATATGTGTGTTTGTTTTATATATAATTATTAATTGTTCTAACCACGGGGCTTGGGAGAGACACTCCCACTAGGAGTGTGAGTGGGGTGTTCCAGACCTCCCTCATGATAGGCGTATGTTCTATCAGCTCAATTGTACCTTTAGCCTTTTCTTTGCTTATTGAAATCAGTGTTGTTGGTGTGGTGGAATTTCTCCATCAATGACCCAGACAGGCTAGACCTGTTTAGGATATGGGCAAGACCTACGACATTTGCAGGCTGCAATACTAGTTGTAGAAGAAAGTGTTAGTTGTGGCGATGATATCGAAGTTTCTGGAATATAAATCATCTGGAATATAAAGTGTTGGCATATACTGTAAGAATGACTAGTCTTTATGGTAGATTCTTAATATATGTTGGATGGTATAAATATGTTTGAAATATGTTTGTTGGATGGCAACATAAATATATGTTGGATGGCATCATATTTTCACTTTCACCAAGTCAGTATTTTTTAATTTGGTGGTGGGGGGGGGTGCTTCAGGCCATACCTGATAATCTATGGGGCTGCTTGCTCCAGGCAGTGCTTGGGGGACCATGTGGTGTTAGGGATTGCACTAGAGCAAGCCATGTGCAAGGCAAGTGTCTTAATCCCTGAACCATCTCTCTGGCACTCTCAAATCAATCTTTAGTAATAGAATCAATCCTAGATCAATCTTCAGTTATCACTGTATCACTGTCATCCTGTTGTTCATTGATTTACTCAAGCGGGAGCCAGCACCGTCTCTGTTCGTCCCAGCCCTGAGATTTTAGCAGCCTCTCCTTCCTTGTCTTTCTGACCGCCGCCATATTGGAGGCTCTTTCAGGGTCCAGGGAATAAGAGCTGTTGTTGTTACTGTTTTCGATATATCGAATACACCACGGGTAGCTTGCCAGGCTCTGCTGTGTCTTTAGTAATAGAAACAGAAATAGTAATATTAGTAACAGAAAATAGTAATAGAATGGAAATAGAAATCACTCTTTAGTAATAGAAATAGTAATATATTAGATTTTGTTCTCAATGTGTATTTAAGTTGTTGACTACTTTCATTTAAGTTGTTTACTACTTTGAAATCATTTGAATTTGTTCCACTGATTCTGCTCTCTTTTAGCCTTGAATTCCATTTTGAAATTTTGAGGCCTAAAAAAAATTAGTAGAATTGTAAAGAACAAACATCCTTCCACATATTTGCTATTTCTAATATTTTCCATCTCTTGTCTATTTTTTATGTGTGTGTGTGTGTGGGGGGTGTACACCCAGGGTGCTCAGGGATTACTCCTGACTCTGCTCAGGGATCATTCCTGTTCTCTGGGGACCATGTCAGGTACCGGGGATGGAGCCTGGCTCAGCAGTGTGCAAGGCATGCACGCTGCTGGTGCTGTGGCCCCTCCAGTATACCTTTTTGAGAAACCATTTGAAAGAAAGTGCAGACACCATGGAATTTCAAACTAAATTCTTTTAGAAAACATCTCCTAGGATATGTACATTTTAAAAAAATAGCCAGAATAGCGCTTCTACCTAGAAAGTAATACTAATTCAATAATTTCATCTATATTCTATAATAGAATTTTTAAGTTGCCCCGAAAAAAGGTATTTTGCATTTATTTTGTTACTTTGCATGTATTTTGCTGCTTTTAGTTCTTGGCTACCAGCCCCCTCCCCCACCCCATTTGTAGTACTAATATGTTTATGTTTTTAATTTACTTTTTGTTTTGCTTTTGAGTCCTGGGGATGGAGGTGCCGCTCGTGGTTTTCAGTTCACTGGGCTGGTGGTTCAGTGCAAGGGCAGAAGCTGGGTGCTGCACGTACCCTACAGCGTGTGACCCTGCAGCCACCCTGGAGTGCTGGGGGCCTCCAGGGTTGCACCCAGAGATCTGGGGGTGGGAGGCTCATGGTGCTGGGCATTGACTCTAGGTTGGATGTGCCAGGCACATGCTCTAATCACTGCACCATCTCTACCTCCTGGCCCATTTCCCTTTTTTCACATGTCTAAGTCAGTGACTTGTACAGTGTCTCACTTTCTTGGCGTGTCTGATTGTTTATTCATGACTAGAATATTTTGGAAAGAACATTGCATAGTTGTAGGATTTTTCTTGCTACATTACAGTAGGAGGCATTTATAAGGTTGATCTTTTTAATAATGCTTAGTTTGGTCATTTGTGAAATATATCTGCTGTGAAAGTAGCATTTTCCCTTGTAGTTAGTTGGCAATCTGCAGTGTTGTAGCAACTGAATTATCGTGTTATCTTGCATCCTTCTGGTTTTTTCTTTGTTGGATGGCTGTGGGGGGGCCATCCCTGGCAGTGCTCAGGGATAGTTCCTGGCTCTGTGCTCAAGAATTATTCTTGGTGGGGCTTGGGGGACCATCTGACATGCTGTGAATCGAACCCTGGTCGGCCGTTTGCAAGGCAGACTTCCTCCTCAATGAACTACCCTCGGGCCTCTATCTCACATCTTTCTTTCTTTCTTTTATTTTTTTTTCTTTTTGGGTCATACCCGGCAATGCACAGGGGTTATTTCTGGCTCTGCACTCAGGAATTACCCCTGGCGGTGCTCAGGGGACCATATGGAATGCTGGGAATCGAACCTGGGTTGGCCGCGTGCAAGGCAAATGCCCTACCTGCTGTGCTATTGCTCCAGCCCCACTATCTCACATCTTTCACTGGTTTTTATGCATTCATTAATGCCTGCTAATTACCTAACTCAGTTTATACATGTGAGGTTTTAAGCCATTATTTATTGATTGGAATTTTGCAGTTGTAATCTTGACAAAAACTAATTTAAGACAGATAGAACTCAAGTGGATTAGGGATGTGACTCAAGTGCCTTCCGTGTAAGAAACCAGGGGTTTGGTCTCTGGCATCACATATTCTTCTAAGCACTGTGTGGTCCCCACAAAAAAAAAATAAAGTTGAAGTTAGAGATAGCAGTATAGATAGAATGTCTATACACCCCACCTCCTATTTAGATTTGTATTATAGTACTTAATGAGTGTTTTCAATAAAATGGGCCAGTGTTTCTAGATTAAGAACAGATGCTTTCTCTCGGTTTTCGTTGATAATACTCAGCTGAAGTGCTCACACTGAGTCTTGCTGCTCACCGGGATAGCACATTTTAGTTGTGCTGCGTGCGCACATGTTTACTGCAGTTCTTGCTGGAAACCGCATACTTTATTTGAGGTCTCAAACACACGTAGTTGTGGTATGTTGGGACTCAGGCTTACCACTCAGGCCCTCTCCCACTGACCTATCCTAGATCCCTGGTTTTACACTTTCTTAAGAAACTACAAGTAGAGTTTCTGATAATCTGTGTGTAAGTTAATTAATTTATTTTTGGTTTGGGGTCTACACTGGGCAGTGCCCAGGACTTGCTCCTGACTCTGCTCTCAGAGATAGCTCCTGCTGGAGCTCAGGGACCATATGGGATGCCAGGGATTGAACCCAGGTTGGTCTTGCACAAAGCAAGTGTCCTATCCACTGTGCTCTCTTTCCAGCTTCTAATATTCCAGGCTCCTTCCATCCATATGCTATGGAAGGATTTTTTCAGTGCTTCCTCTCTCATTCATGTCTTGATTTTTTATTTTCATGGTTCTCTTAATTATTGTTAATTGATTGAATTCTAAAATATGTTCACAAACTAAGGAAGGTCTTAAGAGAGAAGTGTATAAAGTCATCACTGTTTTATTATAAAAGCCTGATAATGAAATAATTATTGGTTAAACTTGTTTGATTCTCATTGTTCCACAGAAAATATTTCTAGGACTCATTTTTATTAGGGAAGTTGATGTTCATTGAAAGGAATTAAAAGCCAAATACCTTATTCTGCTAGCCTGACTTACTTCATAATGGGGCATATTTGTGCATTTATAGCATAAGAAATTTAATATGTCAGAAGGGAAAGTTCTGAATTACAAAATGAAGTAAATTGCAGTGTTAAGATGCTTTATATATTCAAGCAAAACTGGTTGGTAAAGCTAAACCCAGAATAAAGAATGATTATTGTCCTTTTTCAGAACCCACAAATCATCCATATGACAAAGATTTAAAGATTAGTGATCTTTTATTGAGGGATAACTGAGGAGTAGGCTGTCTTAAAATGATAATACATTGCATAATGCCTTTCTGATGGTACTCATTAATTATGACAACATTTTATTTAGAAAATACTTTTAAATCTCTAAATATGACTGCCATGGCATCTCTTTTTTGTGTTTTAGACTACCCCCATAAGTATGGCCCGCAGGGGGGCTGTGCAGATCACTCAGTGTTTGAAAGGATGAGGAGGTACCAGATGACCGGGGTGCAGGAGGCCACACAGGTAAGGGCTATAGCGTCTCTATTCTGCGCACTTAGACAATGGAAATGGTTTTGTTTCTGCATTAAAAATGTATGCTGTCGAATTTCTGAAGGATTCTTACCGTTGCTGGCAACATTCCTAATTTGTAATGTTCAAAGAGGCTTGGTAGCTTGCCTATAATAAAAACTTGGTGCTGAGATTCGAACACAAATCTGCATGGCTCAGTTTTATGTTTCATGTCCAGAATATGCTGTCTTGCCTGTTTCATTGAAAAAAAATAATAATAATTTAGGATGCCTGGAGAGGTAGTAGCGGGTTTAAGGCTTAACTTGTTTGTGGCCGAAACCAGTCCCACATGGTCCCCGAACACTGGGTGCAGTCTGAGGCCCTGGAGCTCCAGGGGTGACTTGGGTACTCCTGGGCACTGCAGGGCAGGCCTGGCTTGGGCGTTGCACTACAGACCTGGTGGCTGACCCTTCCTCCGAGGCCTTCTGGGGATCCTGGACTCTGGACACTGTGAAGGTTCCTATTCAATTAAAGAAAACTGTGGTGGGAGCATGACAACAGAACTTTAGTGTGAACAGGTATTTTGAATAAATTCAAATATTTATAATAGTGTGAGCGTTAGATTGACCAACTCCCTTGACTTTCTAGAAGCTTCCCATATTTTGTTTGCTTTGAATTTTTTTTTTTTTTTTTGGGGGCCACACACAGTGTACTCAGGGATCACTCCTGGCAGACTCAGGGAGCCATAGGGGATGCTGCAGCTTGAACCCAGACTGGCTGCGTGCCAGGCAAGAGCCTTCTGTGCTGTGCTGTTGTTCCTGCCTGGAACTTCCGCACTCCTTTTTTTTTTTTTCCCTTTATTTTATTTTTTTTTTTTACAGTTGTAGAACTTCCACACTCTTGACAGTAAAAGTCCCTTAGCAAAGTAAGCTGGTGGTCAGTCACTAATGAGAACCACAGTGTTTTTAATATTCCCATTATGTTTTTTTTCTTTACTATAGGTTTGTAGTTACTCAAAACATAATTTAAAATTAATTTAAAAATTTTAAAAAATTAGTATTTTATTATTTTTTTTCTGGTTAGAATCTGGTTATTTATTTTTAAAATTTTATTGAATCACTGTGAGATAGTTACAAGTTTTCATGTTTGGGTTACAATCACACAGTGATCAAACACCCATCCCTTCCACCAGTGCACATTCTCTACCACCAATATCACCAGTATACCCTCCCTTTCCCACTCTCTCCCTGCCTTATTTTAATGTAGGAGTATTTATTCAGCCATTAGATTAAGCTGATTGAATTGGGCATGAACTCCACCTTACTTTTTTTTAATTAAAAATTTTAAATGATTAAAGTATTTTTTTTCCCTAAAAGTAGCATGGTAGAGTAATGTCTCTTGAGTTCCTTAAGTCACAGAGAGAGCCTTGTGTCTTCTTTGATCTGAAAAATGCCAGGAACAATTATGTTTTAGGTGGCTCGGTGTAAGTGAGATTATACTCTTGTATTTATTGATCTTTTGCTAGGTGTCAGAGACTGGTCAGATCTGAGAATATATGGCTAATAAAATGAACATGAATTTTAAAAAATGTATCTAGAGCTTGAGAGAGAAACACTTGAGGGTAGTTAAGGAATAGAAGACTCAGAATAGGGAAATCCAGTCTGAGAAGTATTTGAGGATAATAAATCAGACATTGAAAAAAATAAGCAGGAGTCAGGTTGATGTAAAAGACAAGAGGGATAATATCTGCAGAAGTCCAGAAAGATAGAGCAAGGCCAGTAAAGCTGAGTTGCACACACAGAGAGTAGGAGACAAGTGGAAAGGCCTGGGGATTGACAGGAGCGGTAGAGACCATGTGTTGCATGTGTGAGGTGCTGGATTTGATCCCCAGCTCCATGTGGCTGTAGAGCATAGAGCACGTAGCTGTGGTGCACTGGGGAAGGCCCTGGTCCCCAAGCATACTACCAACAACACCACAGCAAAAGGAAGAACTATCGTAATTCTGTCATGCAGTGGTAATAGGCTCTACTGTGGTCTCAGTGGCACAGATGGTTGACATAAGAGAGTTTAGATTGCTGATAGAATAGAGTTTAATAGTAATGAGGTATAATATTTATATATAGTAGGTTTCATTTCTTTTTCTCAGCAATAGATTCAGAAATGTAATGAGAAAAGACATCATTAATATGACTATCAAGAATTGCATCAGAGAATAAATGCAACAAACTGTAAGGTTTGGATAAAGAAACTTATGAAAAGCTTTATTGGAAATGTTAAGATTTTATTTTAAATAAATGAAGATATATTCCATATCAATAGGAAATAATAAAATATCTATTTTTCTCCTATATTATAGTCTGTGTAATTCCAATACAAAAGACCACAGATCTATTCTTAGTACTTGATGGGTCAAAAATTTATAGAAAAGTCTAAGAAATAGGACCCATCTAAGATGGTGAACAGAACAGAGCAATTTTTCTTATAACTCTTAAGACTTTTGGTGATGACTATGGGACAGGCATGAGCAGACTGCCCTGAGGAGTGTGATTGAGCACTCAGGGATAAGAGGGAGAGGGAAAGTCGGGAGGGTGTTTGTCAGTTTGGAAATAGATAAAACTGTATTTCAATCTCATATACATATTTAAAATAAACAACTTCAGGTGGAATAAATATTACATGTTGAAAAGAGAATCTTTGAACCTCCCATCCCGCCCCAATATTATTTTATTAAACACCGTAAATCACAAAGTTATTCATAGTTGGGTTTTGACATATAGTGCTCCATCACTGATTTCTCCACCAGAGTCTCTGCAACACCCTCCCCAGCCCCAGCCCCAGCCCCAGCCTGCCATCTTGACAGGCATCTTTTAAGTACCGTTGTTAAAGTTTGGGTCTTGTGATTTCATTGTTGTTGACTTGGGCTTGGATATTTAGCTGTGTCATTCCTTAACACCACTGATGTATCTGAATCCTTTTGACCCCTGCTGCTGCTTCTCATCTTCTCTCCCTTCCCCTTCACTCTGTTTCTTTCCATCCCCTCCCTATGCTCTGGGCCATGGCTGATCTAGGCACTATATATAACCTCTTTCCCTTTTAAACCACTGTATTTACTCATCCAGTTACTCTGAATACAGCATACAAGTCATACCATCCTATGTTTGTTCTTCTTCTATCTTTCATTTAACATACCTTCCAGTTCCATCTATGTTGCAGCAAATTGCATTATATATATACATATATATGTACGCACACACGCATATATATACATATATTTATATATACATAACCATATCTTCATGGTTCATTTATCTGTCATTGGACATCAAGGTTGATTCCAAATATTAGTTATTGTACTGAGTGCTGCAATGAATAATGGTGTGTACAGTTCCTTCTGAATGAATAGTTTCCTATCTTTGGGGCAGATTCCTCAAAGTGAAATTGCTGGGTCAGATGTTGCTCAATTTAAAGTTTACTGAAAGCCTTCTGCTTTGCACAGAGGTTGACAACATTCCTGCCAGCAGTGGATTTTTCAACATATTACTGCCAACACAGATTGTTCCCAGTATTTTTGATTTGTGCCATTTTCACTGGGCTGGAGTGATAGCACAGCGGGTAAGGGCATTTGCCTTGCACGCGGCCAACCCAGGTTCAATTCCTCTGCCCCCTCTGGGAGCCTGGCAAGCTACTGAGAGTATCTTGCCCGCAGGGCAAAGCCTGGTAAGCTACCTGTGATGTATTTGATATGCCAAAAATGGTAACAACAAGTCTCACAATTTGTTGTGAGACATTACTGGTGCCCACTCGAGCAAATCGATGAACAATGGGAGGACAGTGCAGTGCAGTGCAGTTCCATTTTCACTGGTGTGAGATAGTAGCTCATTGTTGTCTTGATGTGGATTTCTCAAGTAATAAGTGATGGACATTTTTTTCATGTTCCTGTTGGCCATTCGTTGGTCTCTCTCAGAGAAGTTCCTGTTTATTTCTTCTCCCTATTTTTTTGATGGAGCTTTTGATTTTTTTTGTTGCTGATCTTTGTGAGCACTTTATATATCTGGATATCAACTCTTTTTATATATGTTCCCCACTTAGCTTTTAGTTTTAGCCTGTGTTTCTTTTGCAATGCAGAAACTCTTTAATTTAATGAGTTCCTTTTGTTTAATTTTGATTTTGTTGCCTTTGCCAATGGAATTGTATCATTGAAGACACCTTTGAGGTGCAGATCTTGGACCATTCTGCTTATATTTTCCTCAGTTTATTTTATAGATTCTGGTCTGATCTCAAGGTCCCCTTTGAATTGACTTTTGTGTAAGGTGTTGAGATTCTGATCCATCCAGTTTTAATTTTTTACACATGGTTATCCAGATTTGCCAGTACCATTTGTTGAAGAGACTGTCTTTACTCCATTTCATGCTCTTACTCCATTTCATGCTCTTAGCACCTTTTTCAAATATTAGTGGACCGTATATGTGGGTGTTTGTTCCTGGATATGCTATTCAGAAAGACTATCCTTATTCCCATATCATGCTGTTTTGATTATTATGGCTTTTTAGTATTTTCAGTATAACTTTTGATATAAATTATATAAATTATATAAATTTTATTATGAACTGTTCTGAAGAATGTTTTCTGAATTTGAATAGGGATTTCATTGGATCTATATTTTAGTAAAATGGTCATTTTGACAGTATTAATTCTTCCAGTCCAAGAGCATGGAATATTTTCTAAGATCTTCTTCTATTTCCTTCTTAGAGTTTTGAAGTTTTGACAGTATACATCGCCTACCTCTTTTGTTAAGTTGATTCCTAGGAACTTGATGTTCTTGTAAACTATTTTGATTGGGACAGATTCTTTGATCTCTTTCTCCTCTGATTTATTATTTGTTTATAAGAATGTGAATAATTTTCTTGTATTGATTTTGTAGCCAGCCACCTTACTGTATTGGTTTATTGTTTCTAGAATTTTTTTTTTGGTTGTTGATTCATTTGGGTCTTCTATATATAATATCATATCATCTT